CATCAACATATTTTCTATACTGTCGTTATATACCTTATGAACTTCTGGAAACTGTGCTAGGTTTTCATTTGTGAATGCGGAGCGAAAATGACTATTTAACGTACTACACATTTCTAACTCATCATCAGTCATTTCTCCTGTCGTAGTTTTAAGGGGACCTATTGTATCTCTAACCTTTGATTTATACAGTTGATAAAAAGCTTTGGGGTTATTTTTCGATTCGTTTGCTACCTTGATTTCATAATTTCTCTTTGCTTTCCTAATTTCTGTTTTTACCTGTCTTGTTAGGTTCTGATAGTAACCAAGTAAGTGATTTTCGCCTTTCTTTACTTTTCTATATACTCCTTTCTTTTTCCCTAGAAGATCTAAGAGTCTATTATTATTCATCCATTTTGGTTGGTTCCGTATCGATCTGAATTTTCTTTTAGGGATGTGTTTATTTTGAGCATTATGGATTGTCGCAATAAATTGTTCATAAGTAGCTGCTAAATTAAATTCGGGGTTCTCCTGTCCTAAGTTGACAGTTTCCGGAGGTGTGGGGGGGATTAATCTTTTGACCATAGGGTCATCCCTTAGGTCTCTCCTTAAGCTACCGTAATTAGCCTTCCTAAAATCCGGGATCAAGGCCGAATTTTCCTTCTTCCTGCCATTCCATATTATGTTAAAATACATGGATTTATGATCACTGTTTCCTAGTTCGTCTCCAATCCCAACATCTTTTACTAGATTTTCATTATTACTGAGAACTAAATCGAGGATAATATTTCCTCTAGTGGGCGAGTTTATGAATTGATATAAAAAACTATCTTGTACTACTTCTAGAAAATCTTCAGATTCATTATCGCAAAGTTGATTTTTCCAATCTAAGCCTGAAAAGTTGAAATCGCCTAGAATACATACATTGTTTCTATCAGATGCCTTCTTTATTTCCTCCCATAGCAATTTACCATCTTTCCTACTCAAATTAGGTGGTCTATATATAACACCAATGACTACGGACTCATTGCCCTCACCAATCTCTACCCAAATACTTTCATTGTCGCTATTTGTTTTAATGTTTGATTTATTGCAGCTTTTTAATGACACCCTGATATACACTGCTACACCGCCCCCTCTCCTTCCTACTCTGTCAAATTTAAATAGGTTATATCCTGGAATATGAAATTCTGCTAAAAAATGTTTGCTGTTTGAATTTATCCATTTTTCCGTTATTGCAATTATATCTATGTTCTCTTTACTAACAATGGCTCTGAGCTGGTCCATTTTGTTACACAAGCTTCTACTATTAGTATAATAAACACTCAATATATTTCTTCCGTTTCTATCTGTTTTACATTTATTACTTTGATGTTTGTTATTATGACTAACTATATTTTCAGCATTATCTACTTCTGTTTCACTGTTGTTTTTTTCACATGGTATTTTCCTCTCTTTACCATTGATGGGATTTGGACATATTAAAACCCCACCTTTACTACCCTGTCAACTATCTTCGCTAGCACGGCCACCCCCTTCCTACTTAAATGCACCCCATCCCTTGCATACATACTATCATTACCATAGCACAGGCTCCAATTATCAATGAATGGCGTCGACAGCTCTTTACACTGTTCTTCCAACCAGCAATTGAAACCGATTGCACGGGACATCCATTCACGACTGGCACCACGTCTAGGTAGGATAGAGCAAGCAATAGGAGTTCCACCCTTCACCCTAATCTTATCTAGAGCTTCCCTATACAGCTTACGCAGTTCGACACTGGTAAGCTTACCTACGTCATTGCCTCCTGCACTGAGTAAGACTATGGGGTTGTCTCCACAGTCATCAATGACGTTCTCCACTCTCTCCAGTACTCTACCTATCCCTGCCCCGGGGAGACACTCGAGCTTCCTAACTTTAGTGCAGAGATTTTTACCTAAATACTTCACCATCGAGTCTCCCATGGCAGAAACACATTTGACCTTACCTGAGTGTGGTGATTTCTTACCTGCGCTACTCCCTCTCTCCACACTAACAGAGGGAGTAGCACTCGTGGTGTTACTAGCACCTTCCTCACACTCGTCACTTAAGGTGCTGAACCTGTTGTTTAGGTCTACAGCTGAGTGCCTTTTTAGAGTGCATTTTGTAGCACTAGCAGCAACTACCTTCCATGAATCCACTTCAACTTCACCGTCCTTCACGACACTGGCAAGGGTTTTCTTCTCCTCTAAAACTAGCTTCAAGGCTAAGTTTTCGCCCTTGAGACTCTGGACCTCCTTCTCAACCTTCTCCAGTCGGTCTTGCAAGGCAAGACAAAGCTGGAGAACGTGAGGGGTGGTCGAGTACTCGTCAGCAGCTGCCGTGTCACTATATCACTCACTAACACTGACAGGAACACAGGTCCGCACTGGCTGAGGGTCAGAGGTCTATTAGTATGTGTTTGATACCTTTTTCACCCCTACGGCAACTCCGTCATGTTTTTCTCCACTTTTGTTCGATTGGTGGGTGTCTTAGTTAAATATTTTGATTTGTTGTTCTCGGGTTCGTCGTGTGCATTTATTAGTAATATATTTTGTTTGTTTTCATTGTACAGTATATATTACAAAGCGATGTTTTGCATGTGTGCCAATTACGGACTTTGTGTTGTAGGATTTTAAGTGTTTTCATTTGTAGATGGTCCATTATTTTTTTTACTTGGAGGGTTGAAGTTGAGGGGGTGATCTCATTTCGTTGAGTCCCGATGATTTCCTTTTTAGTTCAGCCGCCGAAATTACAATAAAATCGTTTGTGCCGAATTTTATTTTGTCTTTTTTAATCATGTCATACCGTTCGTCTGTGTATTGCCATACTATTTCGTTAGCCGTTACTAAGTCTTCGATTAATTTTCCAGTGGGCTTTCTGTGTGGTGGGTATGGTATTCTTGAGGTTTGATAAAGCCCTAGTCCTATATCTGCTGCTTCTTCTGGCACTGGAGAGGGGGGGGGTGGGGATTGTTGTTGGGAAGTCGATTTCCATCTCATTTTAATTGTTCTTGACCGCTGATTTCCTTCTCGCTCCCGTTCCTTGTGTCAGTCTTGGGTCTCTCGCCTTCTCTGTCAAATCTCCAGGTCGTTCCTCTTTTTCCGGTATGTTATCCTGGTCTGTCGGTGATGTTGTGTCCTTGGGCGTGTTTATCGTTGTCTGAAGTATTTTGTAAGCTCTGGGGTGCTGGTGGCGTGTAACAAGTTGGCTGAGTTTGGATTTTCAGGGAAGTTCATTTGTGGCATGTTGTTATTTCAAGCATCCTACTGAGTTCGTCGGCATATGATCCTGGAGCTATGACGTTATGAAGGTGAGCATGTAGCATGCTCACCATTACCTTGAAATGATCAGTGTCACTTAATTTGATTATGGTGTCAGTAGTTGGCTTTGTTGCCTCTTTCACGGCCCTCTTTGCTATTTCAGCATATGTGCTTTGGTCTCTCATCCTTTCTCGTTGGTCTTCCTGCTTTTGTTTGTACTCGATGAGGGTTTTTTTGATGGGGCAGGACATGGCCATGGTTGGGTGGGTGTGGTGCACGTCCCCGTTCCTTTTGCAGTTTACGCAGCCTTTGGTGGTGTTGTTGCATTGCGTGTAAACATGTCCTTCCTCCGAACAGTTGGGGCAGTATTTATTTTCCTTTTTAGGGCACTCCCTTGTGGTATGCTCTTCATATTTATAGCATGTGAAACATGTCAGGAGACTGGTGAATTTTTCCCTTTTATTTGATGAGGTGATATCGACATGTTGCATGCTAAGAAGCCGCACTGGAGGACCTTGTCTGCCACAGCCGTTTCTTCAAAGCAAATCTTCATTACGTGCGTGTAGTCTTTTATCTTGATTATTTCTTCTACTTTAAAGTCCTTTGTTGTTATTTTCAATGTCTGCCTTCAGAGCGTCTGCCGTTTGCCCTCGTACTTGAGAATCTAGTTTCCTTACGAAAACAGATCTCCTGGCTCTTAGCTCGGGAGGCATGACCACAATTAATCCATTCTTGGCAAGGATTTGTTTCGCCTTAGTGGGTAGTAGTTGTCTGCATCATTTTCATTTCGGCAAATGACTTTGAACCCTTCGTTCAGGTTGAATACCCTATTGAAGGGCACACCTAGTTCAACATATGCTAAGGTGATTAGTCTAGATCTATCGATAGGTTTGTTCTTATCTTTTAATTTTATTATTATTTTTACTGCCATTGTGCATGTAGAAGGTCATTGAAAGCCTTTCTTTGATTTTACAAGAGAAAACCACCGCACAGTGGAGTGACTGCACGATCACAGTCGTCACTTTGGGATCGGCCTGTTTGTCCCCGACCCCCAATGAACACACAATATCACTCAGCTGTGAGGTGTGCGCCACTGGAGGGGCTCTAGCACGAATAATTAAATAAAGCAGGTGCCTCGGCCAGGGTAAGCAAGGAAGGATTTTATTAAGAGAGAAAGACCTCAAACCACGTCAGTACTGCCAACCATTAGCTGCCCTCCAGCGGGAGTGTGTGTCACTCACTCTACCCGTGGGGAGGACTAGCTAGGGTTGACAATCCTGAACGCTTGTGAGGTAGTCCGGTGACGGTCATGGTCGTTTTCCAATGGTGGAGGCCCACAAAGGGCTTCAGATAAAAGAAGCAATATGTTCAGAAAATTGTCAGGGCAAACTTTTTGGAGTGAAAGTTGTGAACTCTTAGAATAACCTGCCAGAAAATGCTGTGACAACACTGAGTGTGAGCTCAACTTAACCAACACTGGTACACGTACAAGATACATTCTGGTACCTGCTTCCCCAGTATACTTGCCATAACAGTGTGTAAAGTACTGTGTAACATACGTGGGTCACTTGACCGGACGCCCAAGCAGCTATCAGGCTGATCAGTGGCGAAGAAGATAATGTAAAGTAGGTCACCTCAGCCAACATCGAGGATGACATCATCATCTGCCATTATTTTTTAAGATTATATATTCATGCACTACATAAATTTTCTGGTTGACTTTTTTTATTTTTGCAGGTACTTGACACTGTTGCAGAAACGATAATCATCTTGCAAGCGTAGGTTCACTTTCATTACCAAAGCAAGAACAAGGATTTCACATTCAAAGAGTTTTGACTGGATGATAATGGCCATCAAATCAAGATAACATCAAAATTTCCAATGGACATATATTGTATGTCTTATAAGCCATCCCGTAGCCACAGATGAGAAGGTGGGTGTGGAACAAAGGGTCAGTGCCCCCACAAAAAGTTTCTGTTCCCCCTTGTCGCAAAAAAAAATTGTGATAAATGTAAATATAAACGTAAATATTTCTTTATGCAAAGCATTAGATTATTACATTCCTAGTAATTCGGACGATATAACAAAGCAAGTTATTTTTAATGTACCGGCCGAATGACTAGTAATGTTTAATTACCATATTTAATAAGAAACTGTTTTGTAGTAAAATAATAAGTTTACCAGAATGCAAACAATTATAGGTGCTACTATAGTGTGCGGTCTACAAAGATAACTTTAGTCTAACCTAACCTAACATAACCTAACTTGACCTAACCTAACCTGACCTGAACTAACATTAACCTACCTAAGCTTTTAGACCACACACTATTGTAGCACTGGTTAGAGACGCAGTGATACAGTGTGATGCCGCAGACGAACACCATCCCTCGTGGAGAAAAGAGACCTTCACAAACTCTCCAGGAGGAATTAAGTACCAGCTGCCTTCCTACCCATTACTTGTTCTAGTATCAACTGACACAGTATTACGTCTAATTAAGTTTTTATCTTTTTTGTATATCAAGATGTACTAGAAATATGAACATCCATCCAACCATAGAAGTTATTATAGCTTACACAACATCTCCAGCCCCAAAGCAGTTTTCCAGGATGTTCCACCATCAAAGCTAAGATATGTATATTTTGTTAAATTTTGGAGTAGGATTTTAAACTATCTAAACCTGACTGAAGAGTTTCACTGGTACTAATATGCAGGTACAATTTAGTTGGGACAATGTTTTAGCCAACACATCTTAAGGTGGTAACAAATTATCCTCGAAATGTAACATATATTATTAAGACGGTATTCAACAACATATGTCATCCATTAACGGTTAGTAATGCAGTTTAAATCTGTGATAATTCCTTTCTTATTTCGGTAAATATTTAGAAGTTGCCAACACCTAATTTCCTTTTGATAATGGCTTGCAATCTAACCAGTGTTTGATTTTGCAATGCATCAAATAAATTGATATCACTAATGAGACTGGTAAATACTGTATGTCCCACCGGGACGAAGAAACTTTATTAATTAAGACTTAATGCAAAAAGGACCTGGGTGTGTGTATTGACAATGAACTGAACTTCTCGGACCATTGTGAGAAGAAGGTGAAGCAGGCAACTAAACTATTAGGTCTTTAAGAGTGAGGTGCTTCCTCGCCTGGAGTACTGTCACCCCGAAGGGTCCCCAAAAGATGCTAGGGACTATCAGTTGATTGAAAATGTCCAGAGGAGGGCCACCAGACTGGTACCTGCATTTCGGCACCTCAGCTATCCAGAGAGATTAGAGCGCCTGCAACTGCATAGCTTATACTACAGACGGGCAAGGGGTGACCTAATTGAGGTGTATAAACATCTCAAAGGGCACTACTCAGTCGAGTGTCCATACCTGGAGCTGGTGGATGCCCATCCCACAAGGGGTCACAGCTCAATGTAGAAGAAGTCGGAAAATTCCTGGTATGAGGGAGTTTTTTCTGGGTTTGAGATGGAAATTGGGTGTATTAGCCCCTGACTAGCAGTCAGTAGCATTTTTATAAATTTGGGTTAATACATTTATATTATATAATCATTTCACCCCCGTAATTTTCCACTGCATGTGAGTGTCACACAGCTGTCATGTGATCAGTAGTTTCCACTGGAGGGCGCATTTCTAAAGAGGCTAGGACAGCCATAAGAAGCCAGCTCTCTGCCCTCAGTATTCACTCACCTTTCACGAGCTTAAGACATTGAACTTAGCTTAGCCCAATTAAGCTCCGTCCTTCCTTAACACTCACAGCTTACTCGTATAGTGTAATTACGGTGACCTACTTATTGACTGTGCATAATATATATATTTTTATATAAATAAATGGAGAAAAACCATTGTGGGTTTTGATAACTTAACCCGACAAACTACACAGCTCCAAGGCTGTTATATAATACAGTCGTCCCAAAGACCATTATATAAAGGTGGCAGCATTCCTACGAACCCATTATTATTATTATTATCTTGTAGGGTTACGTGATATTATGTGTCTAGCACTCAGGATGGATGGATGGAAATTCTAGGTGGTGGTTTTCTTATATAAAATACATTATGTACAAGACAGTCTGGTGCTGGAGATGCCGTGTGGTGAGAAGCTTGGTCAAGAGACCCATTCAGTGAGTAGCGTGCTTGAGGAGGTATCTGTGCAGGAGCTTCGTTAGAGATGTTGCATGTTGCTGTCCTCCAGGTTGAATGAGGGTTGGACAGCGAGGAGCTTGCTTGGAGGAGGTGTTGCGTGTTCAGGAACGTAGGCCAGAATGAATCTCAATGGAGAGACAGAGCTTATATACACCGCAGCCGGAAGTAAACCCGTGGGAACTCGCCGGTTTCTTGACTCCGTTGCTAGGGAAGACATAGCAGGTGGCGATCCCCCCCCGTGTTGCTAGGATACTGTAGCAGCCCCCCCCTGAACAGCTCGCTTGGTTGCTAGGATACTGTCACATTGGAATGCGATACGCAGTTGTAGGGGAGAGATCCACTACAATACTCCCCCTCCCCTCCGGGCGCTGCAAAAGACTTGTTGTCGGCAGGGTTGTATCTCACACGTGAGACATAACGAGCAGGGGTGTGGACGACTCGGCCGCTACCCGTGACAACTCCGTCCAGTGAAACAGAACCTGTGGGAGAATCAGGGGATGGGAAGGAGGGTTGTGGATAGGAGAAGGTTGTACTGGCGAGGAATGTGGTGCTTCTATCGCCGCAGGTGCAGGGGTGCCGGGTGGGGTATCTGGGTCATTAGGGCCGGCTGCGGGGTCGTCAGGAGCAGTAGGTACCTGAGGATAAAAAGAGGGTATGCAGAAATGTTGTGGGCGAGGTGGTGCTCTAAGTGGCAATGGTGGGCAGACTGGCGGAGGAGGTGCGGGATGAATGTGTTCAGGGCGGTGGGAAGGCTGGCGTGGGGCAGTAGCCTTGAATGCAGAAACCACCTGATGTAGTGTTTGTAGTAGGTCGTGTCGGGCAGCAGGAGTGAAGTGGTCAAGGTCAGAAGTAAGGCGTGTGATGTGCTGCTTGATAGTGGTGGAAGTTATGGCGCCTACCAGTCTCCGTCGATGTTGCTTCGCCGTGTAGTTGCAGGGAGCCTCACAGCGTCTAGCTTTAGCGCCAAAACGTTGATGGTACCAACAGAAGGTAGGTACATTGTGCTGGGGCCTGGCGGCGGGGTCTGGGGCAGGACGGGGGTGTTGGGGTTGGTAGGACACAGTGCGTGGGGCAGGAACAGGAGAAGAAGCAGGCATGGAGGAGCAGAGCTGTTCAATGGTGTCCATCCTGCGGTTCAAAGTTTGCAACAGGTCCCTGATGTCTTGCTTGTCTGGTGGAATGCTACTTCTCTGAGGAGCGTTGATCAGGTTGACGAAACCGGGGCTAAGTGGAGGTGTGACCATTGAGTGTTTTGCGGCAGCATGGCACACAGCAGTGTATTCGTTGAATATTCTATCTGCCGCGGTTCCGTAAAGTTCAGGTGTCGACGAGTAATCTACTGCGGACAGGGTGATACGTACTTATGTGGGGAGCTTTTATGCGTGAAGCTGGCGCAGGATAGGTTCGGGAAGTCTGTCTGCATGCAGGGAGTTCAGCCTACACGTCTCCCAGAGAAGTCCCGGAGTTGAGTTTCCAAGGGAGATTCAAGATAGGTTCTGCAGGAGACTGGGGCGGGTCCGTTGGTAATGCGTTTTTAAAGCGTCCCGCAGGGTGGCGAATTTGATGTTCTCTGGAGGGTTGGAAGTAGTCCGTGATACATGCGTGGCGACTTCCGTGGGCAAGGAGCAGGGCATCGTACTTTTGCTCGTCAGTAGCTTGTGAGCAGATGAGGATTGTTTCCACATGATCTAACCAGTCCTCGACGTTGTGGTTGAAAGTCGGTAGAGAGATCCATTCCTCCTCCATCCTGTGTGAGTGCGTTTTTCCGGGGATCACCATTTATAGGGTTACGTGATATAATGTGTCTAGCACTCAGGATGGATGGATGGAAACTCTAGGTGGTGGTTTTCTTATATAAAATATATTATGTACAAGACAGTCTGGTGCTGGAGATGCCGTGTGGTGAGAAGCTTGGTCACGAGAAACGTTCAGTGAGTAGCGTGCTTGAGGAAGTATCTGTGCAGGAGCTTCGTTAGAGATGTTGCGTGTTGCTGTCCTCCAGGTTGAATGAGGGCTGGACAGCGAGGAGCTTGCTTGGAGGAGGTGTTGCGTGTTCAGGAACGTAGGCCAGAATGAATCTCAATGGAGAGACAGAGCTTATATACACAGCAGCCGGAAGTAAACCCGTGGACTCGCCGGTTTCTTGACTCCGTTGCTAGGGAAGACGTAGCAGGTGGCGACGCCCCCCGTGTTGCTAGGATACTGTAGCAGCTGGTGAACCCCCCCTGAACAGCTCGCTTGGTTGCTAGGATACTGTCACATTGGAATGCGGATACGCAGTTGTAGGGGAGAGATCCATTACAATTGAACCAACAAGTGTCTTTAAACAAACAGTGACGATTTTTTGTGACATTCTCCATAGTGCACCAGAACATACAGTATACCGTATATACAATTGAGACGTTACATAGTGAGTGATACCTATTTGTCATAACCAAGTCAGTTATTGATAATTCCTGATTATTGTGGCAACACTCGCCCCAGATGGTACCTTCGCCACACCCAGTCACACCACCCAGAGGACGTGACTATAGTTGTTTAGGCTACCTAAGCACCAACAATCTGGTCAGCACATTCTTCAACTCCCAGTGAGAAGATACCCCCCAATCGCCCCAGGCAACAACCCTCCTCGATCAACTCAAGGTTGCACCACCCATCACCAAGACGCATACTCTAACCCGAGGTACCCCCCTTTAGGGAGTGCCTACGGCCAGTCTCGAGTGATACCCAATGTTACCCACCCCAAGGTGACACAACACTTACACCAACCATAC